GAGGCCATCGCTACTAGGTTGGAGGCCATCGCTACTAGGTTGGAGGCCATCGCTACTAGGTTGGAGGCCATCGCTAGTAGGTTGGAGGCCATCGCTACTAGGTTGGAGGCCATCGCTACTAGGTTGGAGGCCACTGGCATTTTTTACATCTGTCGACCAAAAGACCGAAATCTACTTGAAAGCCTGTCCGGGCAACTGCCTCGCTCCGCAGGTGGCAGCGCTACCTGAGTTCCAGAGCGCCAAGTGGGTGAAGGTCAACCCAGATCGTCCTCAATCAGAGGCCTTTTTAAGAACACGATAGTAAAGAACGAGGAAAACGAAAAGGTGGAGAGAGAAAGAGAGAGAGAGAGAGAGAGACAGTGGAAGAACTCTCTCCTAGCCATCAAGCTAAGCCAAGCAAATTGAATGATTAAATTTGCTCATTCAGGCCAATGGTTCGGGCTAAATGGTGAAGTTTCACTGAGAAACATGTTCAATAGACTGAGACAAGCCATTCCACAACATCCTGTTCGACCGTTCAGGTCCGTGCAACAGTGCTCCGTTCTGGGAAAATGCTGTTGGTGCCGCAGCCAAGGTGAGCTCTTGTGTCACAGAACCCATGCAAGACACATGGCCGATCCTTCACCCAAAGACTGAGGCTTCGCACAGGGTTCTTCAGCGTGTTGGACCCAGCAAAGATCCCGATGGATAAATATGGTGACTAAGCGCAAAAAATGAAAAGTCAGACCTCGCTACTGTTCCACCTCTGAGGATATGCTTGTACACAGGCAGGCGTTGTGGCATTTGGCGAGCCCATTGATCTGGATGCGAAGCTCAAGGTACGAAGAACGACGTGCGAAGCATGATTGCGGCATGATGCGCTATGCCGCGATGCTGGAAACCATTGCGGAATGCCCTATGCGTGGCGCTGTCACAGGTTGATATGGTCATCATTGGATCGGTCGCAGTCAATCCTGCGAATGGAGCTAGAATAGGGAAGGGAGAAGGCGCGCTATCGAGGTTTGGCTGTTGAAGCATAATTGCATAGGCCAACCATGTCAACACTGCCGGGCGACTTTTGCTTTCGCTTCCTTTCGTTTCTTTCGCGAAGACGGGACCTTTGGGATTTTGAGGCTTTGCAGAGCTAGAGTATGGGATGCTTCGGCTAATGGGGGCCATTGATGACACCACACCCGTGGCGTGGAAGAAGAACATTTCACGTCGTTTTGTTCCATATGTTATTTGTGTTCCAAGTGCAAATGGGGGAGTTGAGGTGGTGAGCTGCATCCACGATTGCCAGCTCGTAGATGATATTCCTTCTGCGCCGTAGCAGAAGTTGAGGAGTTATTTGCGAACACAAAGTAAAACAATAACAAAGAGTAAAGAGAATGAGAAAGAAGGTGTTTGGGTCCAGTTTAATACGTGGAGTTGCCTTATAAAAGAGGTCCAAACGCCTTATTATGAAAGCCCGATAGGAGGTTTTAGAGCAAATTTTACCGCTATGACGGCCTTGGTCGGCTGATGCTAGCATCTTTTGCACCGGGCATGACTGGGTCCTTTGGAGTGCTTTGGCAAATTGTCGACTCAAAACAACTGATTTTGTTGATTCAGAGTTAACTTGTTTTTTGTCGTCGGGTCAAGCTATGCGTGAACTCAAGGTACGCATGAAAGATAGTGTGACTTACAGAGATCTAGATGCGGAGAATCGAAGAACAGCTCAGCTTTTCTGGGGCTGGTGCCCTTTTGTGGTGTGTTTGCAGGCCGTCTCGAGGCAAAAAAAGGGCACCTCTGAGAAAGCGAGCTCTGGCGATAAGACCTTGGACAAAGCAGGACAGGCAGAGCATTTTAAAAGAATCTTGCGGGAGCACCTGCGAAAAGGTTGGTTCTAACACCAAGTTCCTCCAGAAAAGACTTGAAGGAGTTTTTGTTCGTGCCCTTTTGCGTTTTGCTTGATGGTCGTCTTAAGGCCAAGAGAGGGCCCCTTTGAAAAACAGGCCCCAGCGATAAGATGACAAAACAAGACACGGCAGATGCCGCTTTGAGCACTTAAATGGAATCTTGCGAACGAAGTGGGTATTAACAGGGGGTCTGTGTGGGAGTAGTCTCTCACAGTTGGCTTTCGCCCCACACTTTTCAGGTGTCCCTCCCGTCCTTTGTTTTTCAACGTGAAGGGAGCCGAAGGGACCAGAACCAGAAGAACCAGAAACGGCAACTTGGATTAAAAAAATGGTGGTTTTTCGAGGAACAACTTCTTTGCCATGATGTGCCAGTGGATATCATTTGCACCCCTACAAGGACTGAAGGGGCGCCGACACAGAACGTCTCAAGTTGCATTCGCTGATAAAGAGCGGTTTTGCCTCCAACAGTATGGAGTTTGCTAGAATTCAAGATATTCAAGGACTATCCGAGTTCCACCAAGTTTGCCAAAACCCACTGGAATCTACTGGGACAAGCTCTCTCCGCAAAAATTGGACGCTTGGATGAGCTTGTTTTGCCGGCACGACAGGATTCTGGATTTGTTGGTTTTGTTGGTTTGAACTTGCGTTTGCCAGCCCAGGGTTCCATCTTGATTTTGCAGAAGCTCAAAGCCAAGCTAGAGCAAGACTCCTGACAGCAAGGGAATCGCGCAGGTTGATGGGGAACTGCTGACAACCACTTGACTACTGATTGGCAGCACTTGTTGAAATGCGAAAACTCCGGTGAGGGCTAGCAAATCCATGCAATCTGTTCCTGCATTCCAGGAAACTGGCCAAAGGTTACCATCTGGGCCTGATGAGATTCTTCCTCCAACCGCGCGAAGAGATGGAAAAGGAAAAGGAGGAAAAGGCGGAAAAGGTAAAAAAGGAAAAGATGAGGGAAGAGGAGAGAGAAAAGGAGAGAAAGGAAAAGAGAGAAAAGGAGATGGAAGGAAAGGCAAGGCGTCACGAGAGCAAGATGCCCTAAGGATGGTGAAGGCAAGGACATTTCAGATGCTTTTTGAGTTTCGTTTTGGATGCACGAAAAAGCAACGGAATCAAAGTTTCAAGAAGTTTCAAGGCTTTGTTTTGATACCTGACTTTGAAGGATACAAGAACAGGGTATGGCAGCAAAGGCAGGGTGGGCAAAGATTTCGTTGTTTTTCATTTGATGAGGGGTGGGTTCATTTTGTCTTTTGTCGCCGCAAAGTGACTCTTAGTGTTTTTTGGGGCGAGCACGGAATTGTAAATGTCGTGGTGCCCGCAGTGGTTTGCAAGTGCATTGTTCTTCTATCACCTTTAGACCTTTAGAGGGGATTTACATGAAACCTTGCAGCGTTCCAGCTTTGCTTGAGTCAGTTGACAAAGACGAGTTTAAAAGCGCTGAGCAAACCTAGCCTGCTTTGAATACACGTTTGTCTCTTGCACGCCTGGATGGTAGATGTGACACTGCTTTAAAGGCTTAGACCTGACAGCCGGGCACCGGCCGGTATGAGGGAGGTTGTTCGGTGTGTTTTCCTTTGCAAAAATTCTTTTGAAACCCAGTTAGGCCAGAGAATCTTGCAACCTTACTGCTGGCAAAAGAATGTTGGGGGCCCATTTAGGCCAGGGAGTCTGGCGACCGTACTACTTCATTTGTTTACATTCCTCCTCCTTTTCCTCATGTTTGTCTCTTTTTCTTTCTCGGCCTTTTTCTCTTGCTGGTTCTCTTCTTTTTCGTTTCCTCTTCCTCTTCCTCGTTCTTTTTCTCTTTCTCTCTCTCTCTCTCTCTCTTTCTGGTCTTTTTCTTTCTCTTTTGCTCTTCCTCTTGCTCTTTCTCGTTTGTCTTCTTCTCTTCCTCTTCCTCTTTCCCTTTCTGATTTTTCTCTTTCTGTTGAAGAGGAAGGGAACGAGAGGAAAGAAAAAGAACCAGAGCAAGAAGAAGAAGAAGAAGAAGATGAGGAAGAGAAGAAGCAAGGGGAAGAGAGCAAGTCAGAGCAAGAGGAAGAGGAACTGGAAGAAGAAGAGGAAGAGAAGAAGCAAGGGGAAGAGAGCAAGCCAGAGCAAGAGGAAGAGGAACTGGAAGAAGAAGAGGAAGAGGAAGAAGAAGAGGAAGAAGAAGAGGAAGAGCAGGAGGAGGAGAAGAACCAGAAACACGACATACCAATAGTGCATGGCAACTCGGACAGCATATCTCGCACCACGGGGCATTGAAGACGAATTGATACCAATCAACATCAAAGCAAATCTGCCACAAAATCCAAGAAGGGAAAGGTCAATATGCACCATAAAGCGCAGGGCTTAAGTGGGTCAGCGGCAACGGGCGTCCACTCCTTTAACATTTGGTTAACCGAAGGGCGTCAAGGCATGGGCACGGGGCCGGTGCCCAGATTTGCAGAGAAGGGCAGCACTACCGTATTAACATGAAACAGTGCAAACCCTAAGGATCATCTAGTGGCTAGCTGCTAGCAGCCTGGGATGTTTTCCTTCCCCCATCTAAAAGATAGGTGGTGATTGTTCGGATACGCGATGGATGGACTTGCCAGCGGAGGACCCTGGACCAAGCAGCGGCCTGGGGCCCGCTACCTGTCTTAGGATTGGGGTGATAATCTGGCACGACTCTGATATGACTTGGTGCCGCCGCACCCATGAGCCTGATCTTTTAGCTATCGCCGCGACGTAATTCCCCCGCTCAACGCGCCCAGCTCAAAGAGCGGCGTGAATGTCGGCTTGAAACAACCCAGAAGGCTGAACTGAAGCACCGCCAGACTAGACAGGAAAAGAACATCCTCGACTGTCCAGACAAAGGTAATTATTCATATTGCCACCCGATCTTCAATCATTGGCGCGGGATGTTCAGGCGCAGAAGCAGTGCCGTAATGATAATGCGTTCTATAGGTGGAACTGGCTGAGCAGCAGGGGAGGCCCAGGTACAGGTTGCCACTCTTTTTCAATGCTCGCTACTAGGAGCAAGGACGCTACTAGGAACAAGTGTGTTGTGTATTGCTCTGCAATCTTCGCACGAGGCGCCAGACAGATGTCCAAACAGCTAGTGTGGCAACCGAGCGACATGTTTGAGACCCCAACAGCCTGATGATGTTGCCACCGATCGATCTCACAGCTTCATTCGCTGCAGAAAGAACTGCCAAACTTCCGCTGGTTGAAGCTGTTGCAACAAGAAACTTGAGCGTGCCCATCTCGTTCGCAGTTTTGTCGAGGTCCTTGGCTCACAACGTCTCCAACTCGCTCTTATGGGCAAGTTTTTGTCCACCTTGTCCCGAGTGAAGCTTCGACACGTTGACGGAGGTTATCCGGGCGTGTCGGTTCCAACCGAAGCCCGTCAAGTCCGACCGAGAAAAGGCACTTTTCCGAACAAAGGGGGAGATGGGGAGTAGGCTCCAGCCTGCAGTTTGCTTAGTTTCCAATATAGCAAATGTGCTTGGTGGCTCAAGTTCTGCGCCCGCTTCAAAATCCAGAAGCAAAAAATAATTGGAATCTTTGCCAGGGGGTTCTGGAGCGGGGTCCACCCCGTTTTTTGGCAATGAGGTCTGGAGGAGAAACCATCCTTTTCCCTTTCCGTTGATTTGTTTGTTCATTTTTGTTGTCCTTTTCCTTGATTTCTTTCCTGTTTTGAAATCCGGAGAAGGGAAATGTGATACAAATATAAATAAACGAACATCAAAATAAAAAAATCCAAAACCAAAGCAAACTGTTCAGACTTGGTGGGCTATGTGAAAATTGACTCAACAGTTCCAAGTCAAAAACGTTAAGAGTGTCATTCATTTGCCTCGCAAACGAATCAATAAGGGGTCTGAATGGAATATAAAACCTGGCAACACCTTCTTTTGTTTGGAAACAAGCTGATAGTCAGCGAAAGAAGTTTCCACTGTTCTTTTTGCCTCCGAATAAATATTAGTGTGTTCCTTGCATCCATTTTGGACATTCTACTGGTCAGTTTTTTGGTGTTTCCATGGGCTTCCCCCTGGGAAGGAATGGTTGGATGTTCCTTCAGCCTTAGAGCGTTGTAAGTTGTTTGACTTTTGGCATGTTTTTGCTCTTTTGTGCCCTCCTGCAAACCTGCAGGGAGGGGAATAGTTTTCAAAATGGTTGATCAGACATTTATTCCGTGTTTGCCAACAACCATTTTCACGTTTCCTTTCATTTACAGCGCCAGGGAGCGAAGCGCCGCGCCGGCGGTGGCAGCCAAAGATTGCCAAAGATGTTGCAGGTGCAGCACCAAAGCTGGGTAAGTTTGTTGCCAACGTGACTTTTCAGAACGCCCGGCCTCCCACACAGCGACAAATGAGGCATCGAGAAATGGCCAGTACAAGGTAAGCTGGCCGTTGCGTTTCAGCATTGTTCATTGAAGGAAATTTCATTGCAATCAGGGTCTCAGTTTGAATCAGGGTCTCAAAGCCGATGGTGTTTCAGTGCATGACTGACACACAAGGATGATGGCCACTGGGGTCTCAAAGTCAATGGTGCTTCAGGTAGTAAGTGCATGATTGAGATGCAAGGATGATGGCCACTGGGGCCTCAAAGCCGATGGTGTTGAGGTAGCATGACTATGCAAGGATGATGGCCACTGGGGCCCCAATGTTGGAGTTAATAGATTCTTAGGCAGTAGGCCAATGTCGGATCCCTAGCTTCGCTACCATTTTGCGGCACACCCTCCCTAGCTTCGCTACCATTTCACTCGCCAAAATATACCTATTTTTCAAAGTTTACAGGAGCTCAGCGTCAGGCTTTTCACAACCAATTCACTTGAGCCATGTGCACAATGAACGCGCGCGCGGTTTTTGTGTGCACTGTGCGCCAATCATTGTGCCCAAATACGCTGTTGTTAATGATCACAGTTGAAGAACCTTCCTAACTCACACCATCGCAAAAACAACATCTAGCTTTGTTTTGGAAAACAAGACAAAACTCTCCGCCAAACTCAAATCATAGAATCTGCAAGGCTGATGCGCATTTTTCCTGCCGGCCGTCACAAGTAACAGCTAGTTCGCTATCAGCAGCTATCTGAGCTATATATCTACTCTAGGCTCATCTAATCTACATTCTCTCCACCATTGCCAGCCCCATCTGCTTCCTTTGTCTCTTCCGTCTCTATCACAGGGTCATCCCCCTCCATATCCTCATCTTCTTCACCCTCACCCTCATCAGCTGGTTCCGGGCGCTCAGGCTGATCTTCTTCTGGCGGAGTAACTTCATCGGGCTGTTTGGGAACCTCCTCTCGTGGTCCCACCACACGCACCATCTCAGCCTAAGAAGATGACAAAAACATCTTGGTCCGTGCTTGACTGGTTAACAAGGATTGCCACACGATACACATTCGCACATACACCACAGGGTATATTATGCGCCCCAAGTAGAAAATATGCCATTAAAACTCTGCATTACGCGGATATTAGCGAGGAAACTTGGAGAAAATGTTAGGAACGCTTTTGGACGAGAACAAAATGCGACAAGAAACTGTTGCAGGAGGAACATGGACCCATTTGATGGCTCCCTGGGGGCGCACATATTCCTTTGCCTGCGTGTATTCCCGCGCATTACTCATGACCCAAGCGTAGGCAGGGCCATCACCGACATACTCCTCAACATGTTCCACACGATGCTTTTCAAAATTGTCCCGAATCATTTCGTCGCTCAGCTCAAAAGAGTCAATCACGCTTGCTTCTCCGATCAAAAGATGTGTTCCCTTCAAAGCAATTCCGATTCGTTCGCGGATCATAGTAGTCTGAGAGCGGATCTCCCAAGTTTTCTTCCCCTGCACAATCAATTGCGCCCATGGACCATCAACAATCAACACACGTGAGGGGGAAGCCAGGCTTTCTTCCTCAGGCGTCAACCAACAGTGTTTCGCGCAACATTTGCTCGGTTTTGGTTCGCGATTTAGATCTCTAGGGTTGATAACACATTCGCTGGGCGACTAAACACTCACGCATGCCTATCGCGGTCACATGCCAAGTCAAGGCACCACCATCGAACGGACGTCATCTAACTTCTGGCCATCTCGGAGACACTGCACCGCCTGCTTTGCAATCTCGTGGCACTGTTCAATGTTGCGGTACTTCCCTCCCACCTCAGATTCAGTTGTTCAATAATATGTGAATAGTAATAGGGTTAATATAGATACACATAGTGTCACGTGTTGTGTTTTTTGTTTTGTTATTGTAGTTGTAGTTGTTTTTGGCTGATTCCAAGGGGCTGTGAGCACCTGCTTGTCATTCATCTTTACGCCCCAAATGCCATCTTGATATTTGTATGGGTTGGTAACCCTGCGCGGTCCTGGCCAACACACATCAGAGATCGATGGCAGCTGAGCAATGGCAAGTGAATGCATGCGAATGCTATATGAATACGATTTCATGTGTTTTTGCGTTCTGCGCATGAATTCGCGGGCTGCACCTCCCTCAGCTTCGGCTGAGCACGCAGCTGCGGCTGGCCGTTTCTTGGTACCGGATGAGGGCTTGCTGCTCGGACTCTCATTCTTTGCTTTTGCCTTTGCCTCTGCCTTTGCAGCACCTGACCACTATAACTTCAAGTGCGTAATCTATGTGTCCCAATATTTTGACACATTGCCAATCCATATCGCCTGAATCGGCAGTATTTGACTTTGTCTTCTTCTTTGGGAGTGACTTCATGGGTGGCGGCGGGCTCGCCTCAGGTTTGGCCTCAGGTTTTGCCTTGGCAGGCTGACTGGATTTTGGTTTCGGCTGCATCTTCGGTTTTGTTTTTGGCTCTGTCTTGGCCTTTCCTTTGGCCTTCGGCTTTGCTCTTGGTGCTTCCTGCCGCGCAACAAAAAATAGACGCATAATCTCAGCGGCTAGAACTCGAATTCAAAAACTCTGCAGGCCTCGCCAGACCCACTCAGTTCCTCCACGTTGTTTATCAGGGGCATGTGGGGCAGCGAGGAAATAAAAGACACGACCAGTGGTTTGACCCAGCTGTACTCCACATAAAGGGCAAAAAATGCTCACAGTGAGTCAAGGGCCAACAGCCCATTGGCTTACCATACTCAAACTAATACTAAGTGAATCAAGCCGGCGCATTCTCAACACAACAAAAACAGTCCTAACAGTGTATGGAACCATATTTCTCACAGCTGCTAGGGAACTGCCAGCTGTGCGGTCCTCGCACTGATACAAAAGCCAGAGTGCTGGGCGTCACAGAGCGGGGCCAAACATTGAACAATCTACAGGGTCTAAGTGGAAACACCGTTTTTTTAATGCTTGCTTTGTAGATTTGATGTCCAACAATACAAAACAAAAGGGATTGAAGCTATCTACTGCACTTCCAACAAAACATCAGTGACACGCCCGATGGACCAGCAACTCATGGCAGCCGAATTGGCCCTGGATTCTGACAATCTTCAAAATGGACCATCTTGATTGGCCCTGGTAACTGAAAGTCTCGGCCGACGTCCTGCGCACAACCTAGCTTGTCATGGAAAGATTCACCCATGACTTTGCTGGAACATGAACCTGGCAGGTCAAAAAGACCTTGGGCTTCGAGCACACAATCACCGCTGGCGATGATGTATAGTCCACCTCGCAACAATGATGATGTCCAGTGTTTTTTTGAAGGGCGCATTTGATTCACCTATCAAGTATTTGAGGTGTGATGGAAACATAACAGTAGCACCTCCCAAATCAAACGGGCTCGCTTGTTGGAGATCAGCTTGTGGTAGTTGCCTGCATACCTTACTCATGGCCAAAGAAAGGTGTACAAGAATAGCCTGAAGCCAGATAAAACATGTTTAGATCGTTCTATACTACTTAAATCATGGCACGCTGTTCCAAGCACCTGTGGTCGCACAGTCTTGTTGGTGGGCACACCTCCGCTAGGCCTGAAGACATTTGTGACCATCGAATCCTTCGGTTCCACCGTGTAGCGGAATGTGACGGGGACTGGATCCTCACTGGCTGACACCTTGGCTGGGTTGGCTGGTCATTATCATACTCCTTTACAGCTTCAAAGTCCACGAGCCTTTCTAAAGAAAAAGTGCTACCAAACCCATTGACAATATGTTTTCTTTAAGCAAAGCGCATCCAATCACACCAAACAACTCCCAAACATATCCAAAGGACAGGGTGGAACCTTTGCAGCAGTTTGTGATCTTCCAAGCTCATATCTCCCAATCCCTTCTCGATCGCCAAACCTCGAAGAAATTCACAGAAAGGTTGAGGTTTCTTCGCGTAACTCACCATGTCCAAATCCCCTGCCAAACGGAATGGCAGAATGTGAGACTCAGCTGCCAGATCACCTTAGCCATGCAAACACGGCGCAAAGTGCAACTTCCGGCCCTGCCAAAACACAACCCCAAAAAATAAACATCCAAAACCATTGCACAGACTTGCCTGCTAGTCACGGACCTCCTTCTCTTCATATGCGCCGACGCCAAAGCCAAACAATTCTTGCGCAGAAAAGTTTGCGTCATCCTCAGAGGCGTTGCCAATCCATACGCTCAGATTGGAAGAGATCATGACCGCCGGCTTGCCAGATTTCCCCTCACACATCGCAATCCTGCAAGTAGAGCAGGATTTGGTATGGTTCAAATATTTGAGGCCTTGTTTATGTGTATCTTTTAATGATAAATGGCTGACAGACTTTCCCAGGGTAGTGCCCAGCTAAGGGCTGCATACAGCAATAAACATAATACCCGAAAGCCCTGCCACAATTGACCCGTCTAGCTCGCGTCAAAAAAATTGTCTGAACCTTCTAAGGCACTCTTGGTCATTTCCTAGCTAGCTTTCAACAGAAATGCTATTATTGTTACAATACGTTTCCTAATGCCCCCCATCAATTTCGCCTTGAAAATCAGTTGCAATTTGAACACACATGAGAACTTATCACAATTGACAAACATTCAAAAGGGCCTCCCATCAAGCTCGCCCTGAACATCACCTTCAGCGACTACAGGAAGTGAAACCTCCCGGCTGATGTCCAGGGGCTGGGTGCCACCGTCAATCGCAAAGTCACACACACCTCCAGCTCGACCCCTGCTTCCACTTCCAAGGCTTGTCCGACGAGTCTGTGGTGGAAAGGACGCTTCAAGCTCTGCCTTCTTCTCCATCAACTTCTTGTGCTCCTCCGTGCTAGCATCAAACCTGGAGTTCAAAACGTTTGGCCAGATCGGCCCATCCGCTTCCCAAGCCAACAGCTGCAACTCTGGCGGCGCTTGAGTAGTGTCATCTGGTGGTCGTGTGCGCGGTGGAGCCC